CTGCTGAATTAGAAAGTAAGAAAAGAGATAGTACGCCCCTTTGGCCTTGTAGGTGTATTAGCTCAGACTTTATTCACAGGTATCTCTCTCTCGCCAGTAGCAGGAAAAATACAAACCAGCAAAAACTCATCTTGAGGAATGATAACTAAGACTGGCCCACCAGCTGCTAGGGCAGAAGGTTGCTCCCAGCATTACTTCTTGATTTGGTTTTGCTGGCTAACCCCCTGCCAGCAGTATCCATCACTTCAAAACCAGCTGGCTGGACATTCCATCCTGTAAGCTGGTCCCATTGGGAAAGAAGGAGACTGTGTAGCGCTGATACTTAGTGGTGCAATCAACCTTGTGGGTGTGATTGGTTTTGTGATGTGAAAGGGAAAAAGGAGATGTGTATTGTATTAGAAAGCCAGGCCCAGTGAAAGATGAGGATTAAGCTGTGCAATCACAGTGGATACAAATTGAAATGAGAATTTGTGCTCCTGCTTATGTTTCATCTCCATTGCCTGCATCACAGAAAGAAGAATTAAGAAGAAATTTGGGGGTGTTTCCATAGAGTCAACACTTAGTGATAACTGCCATCTTGGTACAGAGATCTGAAAATCTTGGGAGAAAAATGAAAGATTTTGCATGCTGTTGTCAAACAGAAGAAAGTCCATTACACCTGCTCTTGTCTTTGGCTGCTCTGGGATTTCTCTGAAAAACTGCTCTTAACATTAGCTGATATTATGGTGTCATTTTGACTAAAGTGGTGGTGAACCTGCTATTGCTGGCTAGCTGTCTGACTGTGAAATCAGGCAGACCTCCCAGTCACTGTGTAATTTAGGAGACGGTTTAGAAAAGGTCACTCCTGAGCAAGCATTTCCTGTAAAGAGAGACCCGTCACTACAGCGGAGTGATCTGTTGATGAGCATGGTTCTGTAAGCACTGCTGGTGTTGACTTTCTTTAAAGACAAAGCATATGTACAGTGGACTGTGTTTATACTTTTTAGGGTTTTATTTATGGCAACAAATTAACTTTCAGGGCTAATCTATTTTGAAGAGTTTAGCCAGTCCAGTTGAACTGATTAACAGTGTAACAGAATTAGATACGTGAAATAGAGGAAGGAAGGATACTAAGAATCACAGCAGTTCCACCATAATGTGAACTGGACTGGTCAAAGCTAAGTCGGAGAAGGTGAAAAGGAAGTACTATGAGTGACACAGCACTATTTACTCCTCCTTATTCTGCTCCTTTACCCTCCAGTTTGTCCTGATTCTAGGTACAAGTGCAAAAACACACATGTAGATGTAATTTTTTTGGTATAAATTTATGTAGCTTAAGCATCTGACTCATTGTCCGTGTTCCCACATAGCTAGCATACTTTTAATTCTGAAATTGTGATGTGTGATAGTAATAGTATAGTCACACTACGGTCCTTCTTCTGCTTCTGTGGGAAGTAAATGAAGTAAATGCAGTGGTAATGTTAGGTTTTTCAGAGATGCCTAATAGAGATAGAACGCTAAATCCTTCTGAATTATGGAAGACTTATTTGAAATCCACAGAAGAATATAGACCATTCTGAGTGAAATTCTGTCTCAGAAGTCTGTGGGAATACTGCCACCTGAATGGGACCAGAATCCCAGCAAGGGACATACACATAGCTGATCTTGTCTCATGAGATCCCAACATAGAGTCCAGCCAAGTTTTTAAAAATAAAAATTTTCAATTGGTTTCACATTTTTTCTAAACTTAAAAGATTCTTTTCTCTGTTTTTGAATTTCTTATTAGTGCATGGTGCAGTACATTTACCTTATTTGTAATCTTAGCAAAACCTTTTGGTTATCCAGAACCCAGAGATGACCTTTAATACAGCCATTTCCTTTATCTAAATGTTACCTAGATATTCTGAAACTCTCTGCTCTATTATAGTTCTACATGATATATAATCGAGTGTACATTATGCTTTTAATGAGTTAGTATTTTTTACATTTTTGTTAAAAAGGTGCATATCATAGGGTCTTCTACCAAATGTGAATGTGAAAGCCTGTTCTTTGCTATATGTTCATCTGTAGCAGTACTTCAGCTTTAACCCTTCTGCTTTATTTTAGTGCTGGTTTTGGAATTAAAATCTTTAAAATTAGTGTCTTCTGAGTTTAAAGTCTTCTAAATAGAAATGCATCATGAGTGACCATTAGCAGGCTTGTTGGATTGACAGCCTTCACCACTGACATGTCCTTGGGTAGTATTCAAATTCTGCTGAAGATAGTAGGGAGACTCTTGCTGTCTTCAAGAGGCTTAGAGTCTGGTGGTTATCTACAAAAGAGGTACAGCTTGAAGAACACCAGTGTCAGCCTACCTCTCTGCGTTGTTGTTATCTCTTGTTCCTCTCCTCGAACAGACCCATCTCCAGAATGAGAACTAGATTATTTTCTAAGGACTGTTGAATCCATGGTATCTCTCCTGAGACTTCAACCATCAAGTCCTTATTAATGTCAGTCTGTCTGATGACTGTTCTTCCTCCAGAAGTACAGGGTAATGAACGTTATAGATGCAAATGGAAGTGTCCTCAGTTACTGGCAAGTATTTAAGATTTATCTCAGGCCTTTTGACAGATGTACAGCCATATTTCATTGTGAACTACTGAATCAATAGGCAAGTTTCAAGAACATGAGCTCTATTTGATTACATATATTTTTACTAGAAGTTAGAAACAATGCAGCAATCATTAAAGATAGTATGACAGCAAATTCAGCAAAGGTGGTTGCAGCATAAAGCCTGTGAGGTGTGCCTTACTTTTGCCTCTGGGCAAAAGATCATTTTTTTCTGTGTTGTTGTGGCCACACAGACATACATATGTATAAGAATATATATAAAAATATGTGGGGTTTATATATATATATATATATTCATATACATGTAAAACATGTCTGGCTAGAAATTTAACTGTATAGGGTGAGGTTAGTGCAAATCAAAACCCAGTATAAGGACATGAAATTGTTGACAATTGCCTCAGGTTTGAACTCTGCAAGCATCTCAGGTTTTGAACCCACCAAGGGAACACAGAGTGGTGCTCTGCACAGAACTTCATCTCAAGGGCAGGTGGTCTGTACAGCACCTGCAAACCAAAATGCTGTCCTATTTCACCACTCAAAATCTATATCCCTGTGTGGGGTGGCACTTGTGACTGATGTTCCTGCAAATTCAGATCTCCAGAGAGTCCTGCTATAGCTTCTGGTATCTCTCATTGCCCAGGAAACACAGCAAGGAAGCTTGTGGCTAACGCTGTAGCTGCGGACTAAAGTCCTGATGACCTTGGAAATGCAGGAGAGCATTTACCAGCTGGTAAAGCTGAAGTGTGATAACCGGCATGGTGCTCACCTGTGAGATGTTTTAAATCCACAGAGAGTCACATCCCAGACGTGGAGTTAGTCAGCTAATCTAGCAAGTATTCTTCTCTAAAATGGCACTCTATACAGATAAATATGGGATGTGTTCCTCCTTCTGTAGGAGATTATAACCCTACCAGAAGATGGGAAAGCAATTGCAATAATAGAGCCGAAGAACTGAGGTGATACGTGCTTTATAGATTGCTTCAGTTCTTCACTCAGTGGCCATTCATTGCCTGTGGCCATGCAAAATAATGCAGAGGATAGCAATACTGTATTCATGATGTGGTGACTTTATGGAAAGATTGTGCATTTTGATTATTGTTTATTGCAGCTCCATCTATGTACAGGTGAGGATGCAGGCAGGTACATTAAATAAATCACACAACACAAAAACTGACTTATGGAAGTCTTTAATTAGATTGATAAACCTTCACTATATTGTTTCAGTTTTAACGTTGAGGAATAGATTGAATAATCACAGTATTTTAAAAAATCCCAACAAGTAAAAAAAACGGTTAATGTATTTCCAGGTGTAAAACTTCCTAGATTTTATTCAAACCATTGACATTGGAAAAAGACTGTGTTTTGCCACCGAAAAGTTAGTCTTTATCCCCTAGATTAGGTAGCAAACATCTTTTATTTAGCTTGTTACCAACATGTGCAGAGGGTCTCCAGTTCCACAGTTCTTTGTGTAAACAGAAAAGTTATCTGCTCCTTCCTACAGCTAATTAGTCAAACCAGAAAAATGTATTTATTTAAAGAAAAATGGAACAACATCATGTGTTCTTTGCAAAGAGTGCAAGGGCATAGTTATGAGTGTTGAGCCTGACTGCGCAGTCAGAGGATGCAGGATCTGTTGAAGATCTGTGTCTGAAGAAGAGATTGGTATGAGGTTGCCCAGCATGCAAAACATCTCTCTCTCCCACCCCACTCAGACCCCCCAAAATTATTAATAGCCCTTCCACCTGAATTGTCCTCATTAGTAAGAGTCTTTGGTTTTTTAAGAGTGTCTTTCTAGGGCTGTCCTTTCAGACCAGTAAAAAGCCAAGGTTGTGCGAAATTATTCTGATTATTCTCCAGCTGGATACCATCTGCTTTGCAGCTAATGAGTACTCGGTCCTCCCAATTCCTGTCTGAATTTCTCCCTGCTTCACACCACTCGGTGTAAAACATTGGGTTGTACATTAATACATTCTAAATTGGAATTCAAAGATAAAGTCATTTGCAATCCAATGCTCTCTCCAAAGAAAACAGAGGAAAATTCTCTCTCCTCCTCATCTAAAATTTGCTAAAATGCCCTTTCTGATGTAGATATATAAAACAACAAGTTGAAATGTGAGAGAGCGGGTTTTGTAGAGTTTGTTTGTGTGGGAACCCTAAGATCAAAGCCTTCCAATGAGCATGCATGAGGCTACATGATTATTCAGTATCCCATAGCATACTAACCGTGGTCCTCTGGTTCAGGCAGGCAACCAAGCTACCCCACATGTATTTCTACCTCACCTTTCTGCTGCACTAGCTCTTAAGCGCATATGCATCCTTTTCGGAACTAA